CCCCCGAGTCACAGCACATGAGGAGGAAGCAGCCCCCCGAGTCACAGCACATGAGGAAGCAGCCCCCCCTCCAGTCACAGCACATGAGGAGGAAGCAGGCCCCCATCAGAAGCAGAGAGGAAGCCAGAGCAGCCTGCCACAGAGACCAACAGAGGGTTCAGTCCGAAAGAGAAGAGAAGGACACAACAGAGCAGATTCACAAAAACAGGTGACAAGCTTATAGCTAACAAACTGTACAAATTGTTTTCCATTCCTGTCAGACATTAATAGCAATTGTTGTTGTTATAAGTGCCTCCAACTCACTGTGACCCTGGTACAGTTTCCCAAGAGTGGCTGGCGAGTTGGAGCCACCGGCCTTGCGGTCTTAGTGTTTATTCTACACTGCCACACCAGGACCCCTAACAACAATTAACCATGTAATACGTCACAGTGTGTTTCAAGAAGGAAAGATCATTAAATCATGTTCTGTGTAACTTCAAAACACCCTTCTAATGCCTATCTTACGCCAAACTCTCTCACAAAAGCCGAGGGAAGACAGACTGCGGAGTTGGATGGGAAAGTTAAAACAACAGTTTGGAATAAAACAGAGAACTTTTCATGTGCTCGGCGTAGACAAAGACGTCTTAAACAGGACACAAAGGAAGCCAATTATAGAGAAATTTTTGTAAGAATTCCTGTTCATCAACTGACATCATTAAACGAATTAAAAGGCAACATACCACATGAGAAAAGCTATTTGAACTACGTCCTGGTGTGGCACAGCAGGATAATGCACTGGATCCAAAGGTCGGTTTGAGCTGCAAGGTCAGCAGTTCAAACCCAACAGCTGCTCCTTGGAAACCCTATACAGGGTCGCTATGGGTTGGAACCAACTCTATGGCACTTAACAACAAAAACAACAAAGACTATAAAGTCAATACAAGAAAACAGACAACAGGAAAACAGGCAGTAGACGTGAACAGGTTCTTCATACAGATGGTCCCCAGAAGGCCAGTAATCAGAAAAAACACTTCACATTACTGCTGCAAACACAGGACATCGCAAGGGAGAGTCGTGTAGGCCCGGGCACATGCCTTCAACCAAGAGGCTGCAACCAGGAGCCTTACAAACAACTCCCATGGAGACTGTAAAGAGTCCCACATGTCAACGGGGTAATGAGGAAAACCCAACAGGGAAAAAAGAAGAAAAGCCTTAAATAGGTTCCCATGAACGGTCCCCAAAGGGCCATAAATACGGCACCATCATGAGTCTGCAGAAGAATGGGTTTCAATCACCATCTGACCCTACCACAGAGCCACCAGAAGGGAGGGGGCAAGAGAGACCACTAGTATGCAGGGGTGGAGGAGTGAGACCCCACCACAGAGCCACCGAAGCGGGAGAGAGGCAGGCAGGACTGACGGAGGTGAGCATCAGACGCAAGGCAGCGCACAGGGCCCGATGTACCAGTGAGGAGTCACCCTGGGGATGATGGAAGCCCACTGTGAGTGCCTGCTGACCGCCTGCCCTGCCCACCCACCCACCCGCCCGCCTGCCTGCCTGCCCATCTGTCTATCTGGCTGGCTGGCTCTCCCTCCAGGTGGGTGGAGGAACTCATGGTTGGATTTTGAGGCTGAGATCCACAGACCCCGGAGGAGCTTCAGAGGGGCCTGTGGTCTAGTCTACACATCAGGCCCGTCCGTCCCAGGCATGCTAGAGGGTGTGATGAGGAGCACAGGAGCCCCTGGTACAGCCGCGGGACCAGCAGGGACAAGTTCTCACATCAGAGGACCCGAGTCTGGCTCAGCATTCCTCTGAGAGCCAGTACCTCCTTGTCCGCCTCCTTGTCCAGGGCAGTCCACACGAAGCCGAAGGCTCCACTGCCGAGGGGGCTCAGTGTGCTGTACTTATGAGAGTACGCACCCTCGCAGGCCGCCAGCCCCTCCAGCTCTGCCGCCTTGGGGGACTCCTCAAACCAGGGCTTGGCTCGGAGCATCTGTGAAGGGAACAGGCTGAGCTAGAGCAGGGGCTATACCCAGGGACGGGCACGATGCCCACAGATGTGTCCTGCCCTCCTTTCAGACAGCCAAGGCACAGTCCTGCTGCACACCCCACACCTACACATCCCTGAGCCCCAATTCTCCCACACCCCGGCATGGTCACCAGCACATTCAGAACAGTACATGTGACTTCATACATGTGCCACGTACTGGAAGACAGTGTCCAACTCAGAAGAGAGAGACAGGGAAGTGCGGACTGGCTCGTGTCCACAGGTAAGGGTGTCCACCCACCCACCTCGCCCAGGCTGGGCCCTGGCAGCTCAGCCATGGAGTGGGTGGAGCTGGGCAGACTGGCCAAGAGCAGGCGGGTCCGAGCAGCCGCATCCCGGTGGCTGTGCCGCAGGTCCTTCATCAGCCAGCAGCAAAAGAGCGGGGCCGCATCACGGAGCTCCACACGCCGCACCTCAAACTGCACACCTGGGGGCAAAATAATGCAGGCAGCCATGAAGCAGGAATGTGCCATCTACCCCCCAGCAACAGAGGGCAGCACAGAGCAGAGGACACAGGCTGCCAGAGGGCCCACCAAGGGGGCAAGAGCCAGAGGAACAGCCTCCACAACCCGCCCCCCACCCCACCCCTCGTCTGCCCACCAGCCTGGAGCAGAGACCAGCAACCACATGTCACCAGAGCAGCTGGATCCCAGGGCCGGACAGCAGGGACCACCCGAGAATGACTGCAGCCAGCCACTGCAGACCACCCCCAGCAGGGAACAGCCTCTCAGAAAGCTCATGCTCACACCACCATAGCAGAGATGACATCTGTCCAACGGAGACACCACTGTGACCAGGGCTCCATCCAAAGCCACACACATAGACAAACAAATACACACATTACATGCTAGCCCCCCGCAGCTACACACACATGTGCACACAGGCACAAGCGTGGACATACTCTAACCACACTCATGAAGACACGTGGGCATAGTCTAGTTACTCCACCACTTGCTTGCTCAGTGCAAGGCACCGTGCTGCTGAAATCCCAGCAGGGACACCCATGGGGGACAGGGTTCAGTGGAGCTTCCAGACGAAGACAGACTAGGAGGAAGGAGAGACGGACTACTTCTGAATGTGTAGCCTCGGAAAACCTTCTGAATAGCAGCGGGACACTATCAGCTATCATGCTGGTCGATAAAATGTTACGAAGAGCACCAGAATATTGTCAGCTAGAGTGCCCCTAGGTTAGATAAGCCCCTCAGGTTAGAAGACACTCAAAATACAACTGGGGAAGACCCGTCTACTCAAAGTGAGCTGACCATATTAGTGAGAATGGAGTAAAGCTTTCGGGCCCATCATTTGCTGATGGGGCATAACTCAAAATGAGGAGAAGCAGCTATAAATATCCACGGATACTCAAACATGAAATGTACAAAGGATGAATCCAGGAAAATTGGAAGTTGTCAAAACAAAACAAGATGCAAAGATTGATACTGTAGACGCTGTCAGCTGACATGCACTAGCACTGACCATTTAGAATCTGACAATCACATGGTTTACTAGGCTGGAACAACAAATTCAAGAGGAATGGCAGTGCATTCATCATCAGCAAGAACCTTTCAATGTCTACCTAGAAGTATGATACTGTGTCTCTGCTAGGAGACTATCTACACGCCTACAAGGGAGACCACTTAGTACCATATTTAAACTTACACACCAACCATAAAAGCCAGCGATGATGAAAGTGAAGAATTCTACCAACTTCTTTCATCTGAAATTGATCAAACATGCAATCAAGATATATTGATGCTTATGGTGATTGTAATGCAAAGGTGAGAAAAAAAGAGGAAGGATCAGTAGTTGGAAAATACATACATGATTGCCTCTTGGTTTACATATAAGACAGAACAAGGGGTCACAGAGTGGTTTAAAATCAGGAAGTGGGCATCAAGGTTCATTCTGTCACCATACTTATTTAACCTGTATGCTGAGCAAATAAATCTAAGAAGCTGGGTTATATGAAGAAAGGCATGGCGTCAGGATTGGAGAAAGACTCATTAACAACCTGCAATATGCAGATGATACAACCTTACTTGCTGAAAGCGAAGAGGACTTAAAATACTTACTGATGAAGAACAAAGACCATAGTCTTCAGTGTGTGAAGACAAAACTCCTCACCACTGGACCAATAAAAGACATCATGATAAATGGAGAGAAGATTGAAGTTGTCAAGAACTTGAACTTGCTTGGATCTATAACCAACTCATGGAAGCAGCAGTCAAGAAGTCCGTAAGTGAATAGCATTAGGCAAATCTGCTGCACAAGACCTCTTTAAAGTGTTCAAAAGCAAAGATGTCAGTTTGATGACTAAGCCATGGTATCTTCAATAGACTCATATGCATGTGAAAGTTGGACAAAGACCAAGGGAATTGGTGTATTTGAGTTATGGTATTGGAGATGAATATTGGAAGTACTATGGACTGCCAGAAAAACAAACGCATCTGTGTTGGAAGAACAGCCAGAATGCTCCTTAGAAGCCAGGATGACGAGACTTCATCCTCATGCTTCGGACATGTTATGAGGCGGGACTTCTCCCTGGTGAAGGACATCATGCTTGGTAAAGTGGAGGTCAGAGAAAAAAAGGAAGAACCCCCAAGGAGTGGGTGGCACCATGGCAGCAGCCACGGGTTCAAACATAGCAGCTGCCGTGAGGGTGCCGTAGGACCAGGCAGTGTCTCATTCTGCTGCGCACAGCGACCCTACGAGTTGGAGCTGACTCACTGAGATGGGAACAACAACATCCTAGTTACACACAAATACATATGTACACACATCCATCACACACACATGCACGCTCATGTATATCCCGGTTACACATGTGTACACACGGACAGATCCTAGTTACACACACAAGTTGTTGTTAAGCACTAGCAAGTCGCTTCCGGCTCATGACAATCCTGTAGAGGGCTTGCAAGGAAACACTGCTGGGTTTGAACCACTGACCTTGCCATGAGAGTTACATACATAGATATAGAAATATTGTGGTTACAAGCATACATGCATGTCCCACTCACATGTGTACATATGGGTATGTTCTAAAGACACATATGTGTGCAAACACACAGGGTCATCCTAGTTACACACGTGCATAGAGGTGAGCACAGCCTAGTAACCCACGGCACATCCTAGTTACACATGCATGCACATGCGTGCACTGTGCACGTACCAGGTCATGGAAGTCCTATACACGCACACGCATGCTCCTAAACGAACGCAGCTCCCTTTGCTGGGGGAAGAGACTACAGAGATTTTAGTTTCTCCTTTGTGTTCATTTGCACAACAGTTTCTACAAATACCACATACTGCTTATGTCTCCTTCAAAAGTTGAGACTAACCCCCACACTGAGCAGCACCCCAGGGCTGAGGAGCTGCGATGACGTGGGCTTGTTCAGAAACTGTGACCAGATCTGACCCACTGCGGGGGGGTGGGGGGTGGGCTGCAGCGGTCCAGCATGGCCCCTGCATCTTCCCTTGGGAGGGTAGACTGGAGCAGACACTTGGGGGCCCCACCTGCCCCGGCCTACACTTAGGAAATCAAGACAAGAGGAAGTTCAGGACATCACTTCCACCAGGCCTACAAAGAGGTGGGCTCTACAGGTCCTGCCCATCCACCCGCCCATCTGCCCATCACAAGAACTTACTTAGTCGAGAGCCATCCCGGTGGTAGCAGCTGCCTGCGTAGGTGCCCTCCAGGATCTCACGGGGTTGGCTGGGGACACGTTCCCCTTTCACGGGTGTGGAGGTGGGCTGCAGGCCCAGCTCCAGCTGCGCTGTATGTGGGAACAGGTCCCCAGGGCTGGTTTCAGGGTACAGAGAGGGCAGCAGACAGGATTCGGATGGCATCATCTGGCTGTGGGCCCGGGAGATGCTGAAGTCAGAGGAGGTGCCGGTCAGCAGCAGCAGCCCCTCCCGGTCCAGCCTCTGAAGGCTGCCCTCATGCAGGCCAGAGCCCATGCCCACAGGAGAGGGCGTCCGGGTGGGGGTTGCCATGAGGCAGGAACAGCTGGAGGCTGCCCGGGCTGCCTGCTCACTGAGGAAGAGCTCCTTCAAGTCCCAGGAGCAAGCGGACACATTGGCATCGTGCTTGGCTGTGTGCTCTGGGGTACCGGGGAGGTCTGTGGCCAGGGCGTAGCAGGCCGAGGAGCTGCCCGAGCGGCCACACTGCAGGTCTCTGCCCCCCGAGTCACAGAGTGATAGAGGGTGCTCTGCAGACAGCTGCTCTTTGATCAGACAAGTCTGCAGTTCTTCCCTGTCGCTGATCCCACCCAGACACAACTCCTCCAGCGCCAGGGTCCCCAACGAGATGTGTGCTGTTCCCGGGGGGCTCAGGCCTGTCCCCCGGGCAAGAAGCTCTGTCCCACACCGGGGGCAGTGTGTCGGGAGGTCAGCTCTGGCTGGCTGGCTGGCTGCTCGGGCCTTGGACACAGCGGCCTCAGCCTGAGGGATGAAGCCCACGGGCTCCTCAGGGTCCGGGTCGCACTCCTGAACGTTCCTCCTCTTGTCCTCCTCTGTGTCTGGGGTGCAGAGCAACTCCTGTGTGCCATGTGCATGCTTGTCCCCGGGCTGGTCCTGCCTGAGACTCTCCTCCCCTGGTCCCCGCTGGGTCTGCTGCTCCTGGGCCAGAGGACATCCTCCTGGGGTATCTGCCCTGTGGACAGGGCCATGGGTCACACCATTACTGAGGGGTGGGAGAATGGCAGGAGGAACCACAGACATCTCCGGGGAGAGAAAGCCCAGAGCCACTGACACCAGGAACTTGTGAGGGAAAACTGAGAAGCGAAGCCTTGTAACCACATCCCCCTGCCCACCCTCCAGGTCAACCCGCAGATGAAGACCCATGAGGGTGCAGGGCGGTTCCTAAGACAACTCCACACAAAGAGCATTACGCACATGCGCACAGACCTCGCCTCGCCACGCCTTGCTCAGAGCCTGTGTGTCTCGCACACTGAAGGCCTGTGTTGTCAGTTTCTCCAGCTCCGTGTGGAAATGTTTCTCTGGGCAGTGATGCACGCCCACCCACCACCGGCCTCACTCCCAGGTGACCCTGCAGCCTTCCAGGGGCACTCACGTGGGGGCCGGCAGGGACGAGCGTGGGGTCATGAGGTGGCCCCCAGGTTCCGGCGACAAGCTCTCCTCCAGCGGCCGGGCATCAGAAGCAGTATTCATGCTGGACCCTGACACATTAGAGACGGGGCATTTTCTGTTCATAGACACAGCTCCTGAGACAATTACCCAAGTTCCCAAGTGTCCTCCTACCCCCCACACAGACGCAGCCCTGGCTCCCTTCTGCCCGCTGCCCTGCCCCTGCCTCTCCCGCCTTCCCATCCATAGTGTGTGGCCCCAGGCTGGGGCATCCAACCCTACATGCCTCCCTTTGATGCCCCCAATCCCGAGACCAGCCCTTCTTGTCCCCACCAGGTTTGTGGCATGCTGGGGAGCAGGAACCAAATGTCTCACCCTCAGTCCCGCCAGGCAGGTCCCAGCCCTGCCAGGGGTCTGCCAATAGCCCCCCAGGGGGGCTCTGGTGGCTGACATCTGGGCCCTGGGCCAGGGAGCTGTCACAGGTGAGGTCCATGTAGTTGTAGAAACCGGGGATGAGGAAGGTGATGCTCTGGAAAAGGTGTTGGGGGGAGTAAAGATGCCATGAGCGCATCCCACACAGCTACTCTGCAGCCCGACGGACATGCAGAAACCCCCAGTGCATTGGCGGGGGGCAGGGACGGACGACACACAGGGCTGAGAGGCACTGCCCGCCCCCCCCCCGCCACCAGAGGCACAAGTGACCCATCCCGAGTGCCTCATCCTGTCCACATGGGCAGGAGCACCCAGTGTCCCTCCCCGTCAGAAACCATGCCTGACACACAAAGGACAGAAGCGCCTCGGATGGGAGGGCTCTGGCAGCACAGAAACTGTCTCTCCTCCCGAGAGGAGGTGTGTGTCCCTCCACTCTCCATGGACACAAACACAGTGCTGCTGGGACAGTCCAGAAGTGGAGGCACCGCAGCCTGCACAGGGACCGGGACCCACTCATCAAAGCGAATACTCTTCTAGGGAGACACAGCACGCAGGGTCAGGGACCAGGGTAGCCATCGAGTGATCAAACAGGCAGGGAGTGAAGGAACTGACCCATCCACCTTTCTGCGCAGTGAGCAAGCCAGTGAGCTGCCCCTCACCAGGGTACCTGCCAGTCCAGCTCCCAGCCCACAGCTCTGAGATCTAGGCGCAAGCCCACCTGCTCATAGCGGGCAGCAGGACCCGGGCGGGACCCACCTTGCCCAGGAGTTCGGCCTTCGCATAGCCCAACAGCATGAGTGCAAAGCTGTGGTTGACGCCATAGATAGTGCCGTCGGGCAGGAGGGTGATGAGCCCACTGATGGTACAGAACACCCAGACAGAGGCTGTGTAGCCCAGCGTGGGCACGCCAGCTGCCGTCTGCTCAGAGCCGGGCTTGCACGTGAGTTTGAGGCTCAGCGGGAACGTGGTGCCGTCCCTCGCTCTCCCCACAGACCTCTGGATCCTGAGACTCTGCAAGAGAGACGAGCAGACACTTGTCACAGTGGAAACAGCCCAGCAACACCCAGCGTCCCCGACTTCTCCTTCTGTCCCTCCTGTGCCCCATCTGGGCCTGGGAACAGTGTGGGGGCAGAAAGGGGTTGAAAACAGAGTCCAGTGGCGCACCCCTGCCCCAGCAGCCTGGCCTGAGTACTGTACGTGCCCACCTTGGGGACATGCTCGCCAGGGGCAGGGATCTGCATAGAGGAAATCAGGTCAGTGATGCGCTGGCCAGCCACCTCCTCGCTGGACGCATAGCCATGGAGATGGGCAAAGAGGCTGTCACACGACGTGATGATCCCCTGTGTGAGAGAAGGCTGCGTGTCAGACACACCCCTAAGCAACCAGCGAGCCCACCTAGTGCCCCACAAGCCACAGGAGTGGCAGAAGGCTGGGGCTAGGAGCAGGTCCTCAGAGGTCACAGGATAGCTGCACTCCCTCCTGGACAGACATTCCAGGGAGCAATGTCCACTGGTGACTCTGGTCCTGGGCACCCCACGCCCCAGGTGACTCTGACTCCTGATCTCCCACCTGACCCAGATCCTCAGAAGCCCAGACCCCACCCCAGCAGTGCTGTCGTGGGGCAGGGTGGGCTGGGGAGGGCTCAGCGTCCGTTCTAATATGGCAAACTGAGGAAGAAGTCCAGTGTGGACAGGAATGGAGTGCGGACCAAGCAGACAGTCCAGAAACACAGTTGTCTTTAGACGTGCTATGATGTGGGTGAGCCCACAGAGCTGAGGTGAGAGAGCCGCGCTGACAGAAATGCCTCGGCAGGGGACAACGGAGGTGTCACAGGCAGGGTCATTGTCAGACACACAGAGTGTCTGTCAGGGTGGCACCAGCGGTAGCTACACAACACTGAGACTGCGAACAACCTGCTGGTACGTCCACTCAAAAATGACCTATGTGTCAAATTCATGTTGTGTGTATTTTAACGAAATTTGAAGGGTGTGTCTCTCTCTCTCTGTATGTCTCTCATTGTGTGTGTCTCTGTGTGTGTGTCTCTCTCAGACGAAGTGGCAATCAGTAGTCAAGGAGGGGACCAAGGTCTGAGATGATCCCAGTCCTTGCCTGAGCACACAATCAGTAAAACAGACACAGGAAATCAGCAAGACACATACACACACCGAGACACACACAGAGTGAAAGACACAGAGGCACACACAGTGAGAGCCATACACAGAGAGAGAGACGCACACACTCCTAAAGGCAGCTGCAGGGAAGCCTCCTGGAAGGTATGAGGTGAGAGTCACTCACATCTTGCTGGAAGGAGACGTACGCAGAGACCCTCTCCACGGGTTCTAGCACCACCACACAGCAGCGGCCACGTTCCTGCCGAATCCGCTTCATCCACACAGACACCGGGATCTCCTCCCCACTGCGGCTAACAACGTCTACCTGTGGGACAGACAGGCTGGACCCTCAGACAGATGGGGTCGTCCCCTCGGCTCCCTCAATTCAGGCCTTAGGAACTGCACACAAGGCTTCTGAGCCTCAAGTCACAACCTCAGAGACAATGGGGTACCAAAGGAGCCAGGGCCTCTCGTGTCCTCTTTCGAGGCCAGAAACACAGCAACTTCTCAGAGGACAGAGGCGGACTCATGCCATGGCCCGGATTCACTTTTCTTTATAGGCAGTCTCTTGAACCAGGATTTTTCTCAGGCACTTTAGTTCCACCAAGCTTTAGGAAGGCGCTGGGCAGTGGAAAAGGGGAGCATTCGGTGGTTATTCGGAAGGCCAGTCCACCCAGGGGCACCTCGGAAAGAAGGCCATGCCATCTGTGAACTCCTGGAAAATCACCCAGCTCGACTCAGACACACGGGGGCGCTGTGAGTCAGGGTGGAGTTCACAAGAGCAGATTTCTAACTTCCCTCCTAGCATGCAGTTCACGTTCAGTCCAGGCTCTGTGTCTCCAGCGCCCCCACCCACAAGCATCCAAGGGGCACAATCTATATCCTGACATAGGACCTCGAGACAATTAAAACTGCATTGCCATTTGGAAAAGGACCTGGTGTCACCCAGTTCTGTCACCGTCAGAAGAGATCAGGCAGAGTCAAGCCCATGCCCTCAAGATGCTCTGGAGTGGACACACCACGACTTCCACGTCCACAGAGCTAGCGGCAGCAGTGACCACGGAACCAGCTGCAGGGTCAGATGAAGAAGCCGAGGTCCACAGGCCCCCACCCTCGGCAGAAGTCAGCCCTCCCCGCGGCCATCGGCTTTCCGCCTTGAGCCCCTTATGCCCGTGGCTACTCACCACCGTCCCAAACACCACGGCGGCACAGCCGTCAGCCTCCACTTGCTCCTCGCTGAGGGCCTCCACCACTTCAGAGTCAGACTTGAGGAAGAAGCGTGTGAGCTTCTGGCCGATGAGATCGTGACTGCTGTACCCCAGGAGTTCACAGGCCTTGTCGTTGGCAACCATGATCTAGGGTCACAGAGGCGAGGGGGCGCAGTGTCAGCGGCCATGTGTGGACCTGGTCTCCCACAGTGGCCTCGGGGAGCGATGTCGGTAGGACTCATGTGACAACATGCTGCTCAGGAACCAAATCAGAGTGTCCACCCGCATTCAGGACGTCTGATGTCACTGGGACCAGACGCTGACTCCTCCTCCCAGGCAAAGCCTACTGCACTGTGCTGTTGAGACCAGGGAAACACATGGGCCGCACTGGAGACCCTCCATTTGGTCGGGTCTGTGCAGGATGTCCCCTAGCAAACACACCAACAGGGACCTCTCTCAGTCACCTCACCCCACCCCGGAGTCTGTCACCCCTTTATATTCACACCTTCAAATGCTCCTCTTTTCTGACTGCACGGCCTTCCAATTGCACAGAAGCACAGATGGCCAGGAGGGGTCAGAGGCCCAAGTCCATGTCCCCGTTGGACCACCCACCCGCACACACACCTCAGTGGTCTTGGCATCCACAGTGAAGATGGCCTTGTTGGGGTTGCCCACGGGGGCCGGTGGCAGGGGAGTGGACAGGCCCGTGGGCAGGCCACGCAACAGGGAGCAGCAAGAAGTGCTCCCTAGGGAGATAGCAGGATCGGAGAGCTCGGACTGGCCAGGGTGGTGCAGCTTGCCGGCGCAGATGTTCTGGGCAGCTAGCGATGACAAACAGTAGGAGCTCCACCTGTCCCCTGGGAGAAGGTATGAGCAAGTCAGCCTCAAACCCACCACAGAGGTAGGCCCATTAGCAGACTATCCTAGTTGTGCATCTGCACATAACCCAGAGCCCACCGGGACAACCAGACACAGAGACGGCCTGAGATCGGCATTTCCACACCTCAGAGGACTCCCCCCACACACACTCTGGAACCCCTCCGGCACCTGCCCCTGCTAGCCCCCAGAAGCAGACACACACTGGTCCAGCTCACTGCTCCCGCACTGGTCTTCAGTCACCACTCCGGAGGCGTGGGGGAGGCAGCGAGGTCCAGGGAGGCGGCACACAGTAGGTGCTCAGTCGGGGAGCTGGGGAGGCAGAGGCAGCCCACTGCTGCCCCTTTCTAGAAGCTTCCTGCCTGCCCACCTCACAGCCTCTGGCTCCGTTTCTCTCTGCCCCTGTGCTGACTGGCCGCCCCTATAACAACAGCACACAGGTGGTCTCCCTGAGCTCGCTTCCTTCATTCTCTCTGCCCAGCTGGCCAGGAGGAACCTGAACACGCAGCCGTCACCCTCATTCCTGCATGCTGATGAGTCCACAAAGAGTCAGGGTCATGAGCCAGACCTCAGACCACTCTCCCAGGTGTACGGGTAAGAAAGAGGACCTCAGGAGCTGTGACCAGACCATGGGGTGGGACAATTCCTGTAAATGGCCAGACCAGTTCAGTGACGAAAAGTCCACATACAAGTGAGAAAGCAGTACTAAGGGATACGTAAACAAGTAAGCATGGCTGCAACCAATAAAACTTGACTTTACAAAAAGCAAGCTGAGGGCCCTGTGAGACAGCACCCACCACACTGAGGCACCCTTGTGTTAACCCCATCTTACTTGGCTCTGAGTCTCAGGTGTGACGCAGTGTGGCACAGACTCTGAAGACCAGGGGCTGTGCTCTAACTAGACCTGGAACCGTGGAGGGATTCCAGCCCCGCGTCCCGCCATCCCACCATCCCAGCCAGCAGGGAGCCAGGACAAGGCCCCTCAGCGCTTCTGCTCTGCAAGTGAGCATCGGCCTAAGTAGCCAAGGAAGACCCCCATGGGTGGGGACGGGGCATTACCGGAGAGTGTCATCCTGCTCTGGCAAAGCTTGGAGAGCCCCTGCTTCCTGCTCAGGTGTCTGTGGGCCGAGGAGAAGGCCTTGCTGCTGGGTGTGGACATGCCCTGCACGCCCGGACTCTCCATCGCCGCTGCTACCGGGAAGCTCCCGGACAGGCGCCTCTGCTCCTCTTCGAAGGTTGCCGAGCTCATCGGACCCACTGCCCCAAGTTGTCAGCTAGGAAACACAAGGGGTCTGGAGAGAACATAAAGGTGGTGGACCCACCCAACCCTTCACCAGGTCCAGGTGGGCTTGACCCCCAAGAAGAACCCCATGGCCACTTCCATCCTGGCCAGGACTCAATATGCAGAAAGTCGGTCTCTCAGAGAAACCATCGGGACAACGAGGAAGAAAGTAGGAACCGAAGGGAAGGTGCGCTCAACAGGCAAAAGGCCAGTCTCATCACCCAACACTGCCTGGACTTCATTCTGCTCGGATCCACCTACTCATGGAAGCAGCAGTTATAAAATCAAACGACGTGTGCATTTGGCAAATTTCCTGCACAAGACCTCTTTACAGTGCTGAAGAGCAGAGATGTCATCAGCTTGAGGACTGAGGTGCACCTGACCCAAGCCATCGTATTTTCAATAACCTCATATGGATGTGAAAGCCGGACAGTGAATAAGGAAGACCATAGACGAATTGATGCTTTTGATTTAAGGTGTTGGAGGAGAATAGTGAAAGTGCCATGGGCTGCCAGAGGAACCAACAGATCTATGTTGGAAGAAGTGCAGCCAGAGCGCTCCTTGGAGGCCAGGATGGCCAGACTTCGTCTCTCACACTTTGGACATGTTGTTAGGAGGGACCACTCTCTGGAAAAGGACTAGTAAAGCACTTGGTAAAGTGGAGGGTCAGCGAAGAAGAGGAAGACCCCCCCACCCCCACCCCCTGCGCAACTAGGTGGATTGGCACAGAGGCAGCAGCAATGGGCTCAAGTGTACCAATTGTGAAGTTGGCCCAGGACGGGGCAGTGTTTCGTTCTGTTGTGCATGCGGTCACTAGGAATCAGAACCAACTCATCAGCATTTAACAACACCCAAGAGTCCTGATGTGGTGCTCTAGGATAAACACTGGACTGCTAGCCATAATGTTGGGAGTCCAAACCCACCAACGGCTCCTCAGGAACCCTATACCGGGTGGCTATGAGTCAGAACTGACTCGACAGCACTTAATAACCCCCCACCACCCAACAGTAAGGATGTGGGCCAAGCGCACCGCTCATGTAATGACGTAGCCAGCCTCCACTGTCACACAACAACCTGTTCTTTGGAACCACCATCCTGACAAGGGAGGAGCGGGTATATGCTAGAGGAATTCTTTGTGCACGTGTAGTAAGAAAGACAGACAAGAAGGTTGCAGTGGCAAGAACAAGAAAACAGATGCACAATTCGGGTAAGTCCACACCCTGGTATACTACGGTGACAACCTGAGCAATATACAGCGTAAAATAAACCACACCCAAGGCTATCAACAGCAACTCCACAAAATCCCCAACCATATCCAAGACTGAGTCTAGGATGCCTGGGTTTCCAAGGAGGCCAAACTAGGACGTGCTAAGGGTATTTCTTAAACAAGAGACTGACAGACACCTAGTCTGGGCAAACAGTGCCCTCGGAGGATGGGTAGGGGCAGAAATGGGGAGGCCCTCACGTGGAGGTGGATCTAAGTGTGAGCATTTTCTTGTGTGGCTCATGTCTAAGGACACAGGTTTTTTCTTTGGTATGAATCAACTGACGTATACTAAAGAACACAAACACAAATACACCCAGTGTAAGATCCTGGACAATGACCTCTGGGTATGAACCAAAAGGGGTGGGGGTAGTGGTGGAGGCAGTGACCCTGTATAGCTTTTCCAAGGCTATCCATCTTTATGGGAGCAGAAAGCCTCATCGTTCTCCTGCCAACAGCTGGTAGAATCGAACTACTGACCTTCTTGTCAGCAACCCCACTCATAACCCACTGCGCTACCTGGGATCCTTCAAGAGGCAGGGAGGACGTTAGAAATAAATACTAAACTATTTGAAAGTGCCGTTTTGCTTCATGTAGAACTATTCAAATGTTCCAGGTGTATATTTCTTTCTACCAGCATCTCAATGTACAAACTATTCCTACAATAAACAGTCACAAGATTATATTGTGAATGTTTGGTTTTCTACTTTTAAAACCAATTTACAGCCCAAGCACAGAAGACTGAAAATAGCTTCAGAATGTAAATGTTACAATGCTTTACTTTGTAAATGTGATAATGTAACTCCTCAGTAAACATTGTTACACAACTTCACAAACATAACAGAACTCTTCAGCACTCATTGTCAACACTATTACTTTGTATCAGGTATAGAACAAGCCTGGGAGACTAGGGAAACCCATTCAGAAGGGAAGGAAACCTTCAGGGGTGGGTAAGTAGCTTCCAATGGGTTGCAACTTCCAGCGACCCTATTTATGTGTCTCCCACCATTCAGCTAGCTTATCCTGTCGGCCCCCCAGCTCTTTCCTGGGAAGAGCCCTGGCAGCAGCTAGTGTGGTTAAACACTGGGTTAAACTGGCAGGTGGGTGGCTATCTACGCCTGTGCAGACTGAGTCTCCTCTGAAGACCTATACAGCAGTTCCCAGTCCTCCAGGGGCACTGTGAGTTGGACTCAGAGGCAGTGGGGATGCATTTGGTTTGGGTTAGAGTTGTTGAGTAGAGAAGTGGGTGTTTAGTGATGTTACTGAAGGTTCCAGTGGGAAGGAGGAAGATAGGCACCCTCTGAGCATGCCCGAGGGTCCTCTGCAGGCTCAGCAGGCTCACAGACAACAACAGGTCACCAGAGGACCCTAGGAATCACCAGCCGTCCCCAGGTTTACGTTCCACTCAGACACTAACCAAAAATGCCAGCCAGGCCACACAGGTGTCAGCACTGACCAAGGGAAGCCCAACCCAGCAAGTGGCTCCATGGCTGGTGGGTCCAAGAGCAAGTGACCCCCTCAGGAGAAGCAGTAACCCTCCTTTGGGTGAATTTGGGGGTGCAGGCACCATCTCTCTCCCACCCCTCTCATCCCACTAAGCGATGAGAGCAAGGTCCCACCCCTCTCCCCAGCTGTGCAGCTGAGTAGACCCCGCCCCAGGAAGTCAGCTTTTTCTTGTGGAGCACCTCGTAGTTTCCAACTGCTGAGCTTAAGGTTCGCAGCCCGATTCATAACCACTACTACCACAGCTCCCTTCCCAATTAAAGGGTAGCGTAGTGGTTACGAATCGGGCTGCGAACCACAAGGTCAGCGGTTCGAAACTACCAGATGCTCCACGGGAGAAAGATGAGGTTTTCTGCTCCCGTAAAGATTTACAGCCTCGGAAACCCTGTACAGGGTCGCTATGAGTCGGAACTGACTCGACGGCCTACAACAACAACAAATTGGCACACCTCAATGTAAAGAAAGCAAAATTCCTCACAACTGAACAAAAAGCTTCATGACTAATGGAGAAAAGATACAAGTTGTCGAAGATTTCATTTTGCTTGAATCCACATATCAGCACTCATGGAAACCGAAAGCAGTTACGAAATCAAATGAAGTACTGTGTTCGACACACCTGCTGCACAAGACCTCTGCCAAGTGCTCAAGAGCAAGGAGGGTTAAGGAGTGCCTGACCCAAGCCATGGTATTTCCCACCACCTACTGAGGAAGCCCTGTGGTCCACACTGTGGGTTAATGTGCCTTTTCATCTGCAAGGTCGGCAGTTCAAGCTCACCAGTCGCTATGGGTCGGAACCGACTCAAAAGCACTTAAAACAACAATGTCCATGTAAGGAGCTCTGGTAGCGCAGTGGTTACGAATTGGGCTGCAAATCTTAAGCTCAGCAGTTCGAAACTGCCAGCTGTTCCACAGGAGAAAGATGAGGCTTTCAGCTCTCCTAACAATTCAGTCTCAGAAACCTTGTAAAGGGTCACTACGAGTCACAACCAACTCCATGGCACATAACCACCATCACCAATGTGCACGTGGCAGTCCTAGTGTGGTGCTGTGGGCTAATGCGTCAGACTGCAAAGTCGTTTGAACTGCAAGGTCGGTGGCTCAAGCTCACCAGCTGCTCCTTGGAAATCCTATACAGGATCGCTATAGGTCGGACTCGACTAGACAGCACTTCACAACAACAACAACAACGTGCACGTGAAAGTCGGACATAGGAAAAGTTCAGAAGAATTGATGCCTTTGAGTTAGGGTATTGGAGAATACTGAAAAGTACCATGGACAACGCTTTTTTGTTTTGTGTTGGAAGAAGTACAACCAGAATGCTCCTTGCTGTTGTTGTGAAATGCCTCCGAGTCGGTTCCGATCCATAGTGACCCTGTATACGGTTTCCGAGGAGCAACTGGTGAGCTTGAACCGCCGACTTTGCAGTTCAAAAGGCTTAGCAGTCTGGCGCATTAACCCACAGCGCCACCCCAGGCCTCCAGAATGGCCCTTAGAAGTCTTGTATTTCAGGTACGGTTTTCAGAGGGACCAATCCTTGAAGAAAGACATCACGATCGGTAAAGTGGAAGGTCCGAGGAAAAGAGGAACCCCCCCCCCCAATGCATTTAGCCCTGCGCAGCAGCAACAGACTGAGGAGTTAACAACTGCGAGGATGGCGAAGCATCAGGCGGTCCGAACCCACTCAACAAGCACTTAGCAACAACCCCATTGACGGCAAGGAACCACAACAAATTCAGGCAAATGCAGTGGGCTAAGACTAGGCTGCCGCTCTCCTCCGCCAAGTGCCCCTCGGTCAAAAGATGAAGCGATCAGCTTCCGTAAAGATTTAGCCTTGAAAACCCTATGGGGCTGTCCTACTCGGTCCTACAGGCTCGTCTTGAGTCGGAAAAGAGTTGACGGCAGTGGTTAATTAAGTCAACGGCAGAAGAATGGAAAGACGATTGAGATAAGACAAAAATAAATGAATGGCAGGTTAAAGAGCTTGGAGGTGAGATTACCAGGCGTGGGGCGCGGGGTGGAGAGGGTTGCATTGGTGCGCGTGCGCATATCTAGCTCCTTTTCCCCCTCAACTCCCCCACGTACAGGGCAGACGCCGCGAGGCCGGACACCACTCTGCACTCCCGGCCCCAGCCCCGGGAAGGGGCCAGGGAAGAAGTGGTCCAAGAAGACGCTCGAGGACGCGCTCGTCCCGGAGGTCCGTAGATGCGAACACGGAGCGGCGAGGCAAACGGCCGCGGGGCTCGGTTTGTCGGAGAGCCGAGGGTAGAGCGGCAGGGCAGCACCGCAGCACCGCAGCAGCCCCCAGAGGCCGAACAAGCCGGCCCCATTCTCCGAGCGCAGCTCTCACCTGGAGGGTAGCCGCCGCTCCGCTCGCTTCTCTCGGCGCCAGGGAGCCGACCCGCGTCTATCCCCACCGGCTAATCGTGGAGCGCCTCGCACTGATTGACAAGCATCCTGGGCCAGTCAGCGGTGCGTTTGGGCGGGACACAGCCGGCTCAAGCTAGGAGCCCGCGCTAACGGTTGCTAGGGACGCACCGGACGCCCTCTACGGTACGCCGGAGAGGCCAAACAAGACGCAGAGCGCCCATCAGCCCCACCCGCAGACGCGGCTTCTTTTGCTTTCCTGGAGTCCGAGGATGAACAACACAACATCAGCCCTCGGCAGCTTCGACTCAAAGACGGGGTGCGGGGCAGCTCCCTATCGGACATCTGCCGCGCACAACTTCTCGACCTCAAAGCCGGCGGGCGCGAGGGAAAGGAAGTTGGATTGGGAACGACGACTCAGAGTCGTTCTGCCTACCCGGCCGGTTCCTCCGAACTTGCCCACCTGCCCAGCGCCGAGCGATAACCAAGGGCGACCCTGTTGCACGCGTTCCAAACGCTGGGAGAAAGTTGTCCTGCCGCTCGGCCCATTCTGCAGATGCAGCCCACGAGGCTCGGAGCTACAGGTGCAGCCCCCGACGCGGAGATGCGCTCCGCTCCTCGCCCCGAGTCCCTTGACGCCTCAGGAGGTCAGACAGCGAGCACAAGAATGAGGAGCAGTCCCCAGATTTTCCTGTGCAGACGGCCTGGACACCCTCTCTGTTCGCCTGCTGTTACGTCTACCCTCCTCTTCCCATCGCCTTGCCTCCCGGCTCCCATCGCTGCAGTCGGCTCCGGCTACCTGCCCTGGGGGAGGAGGAAAGACTGGCGGCGTCCCGGAGGTTGGGTTGCGCGCGGCCTCTAGCTGGAACTGCAACTCCCGTGAGGCACCAGGGCTGCGCAGCCGCGTCAGGGCACGAGCCGCGGATCCGGGCTCCCATTGGCTGGGCGGCCTTTGCGGCGGGAGCTCTGATTGGCTGGGAGCGCTGAGGCGACAGATTCCGGAAAGGGGAAGAGCAGCCAACATGGCGGCGGAGCGCGGTTCGGGGCAGCAACAGTCGCAGGAGATGATGGAGGGTGAGCACCACAGGCGAGCGGCGGGCCGACATTGTCCTTTGCTCGAGAGAGACTCAGAATCCCTTCTCTGTCCATGGCCCGGGTTCCGGCTCGGCCTCAGGAGCCTTGACAGCTGGCCCGTGGGCGGCAGCGCCCGGCTGGCCCGCGGGAGGGCGGTGGCCAGAGTCTGGGCCGGGGACGGAGTGGGACGGCCACTGTCTGACCCGAGGCTCGCGCCGCATCTCTGAGATTGGCAGGCGGGGAGCGCCCCGCGTTCCTGGTGGGGAAACAGGCTGGGGGCGGGCGTGGTGAGTGAGGGTCTTCGCCTGCGCGCCACTAGGCTGTGGGGACAGAAGGTGGAGGTTTAGACAGGTCGGTTTCAAGTCCTTCGTGATTCTGAAAAGATTCAATTCATCCCCCTTTTTGTTTTGCTGGAAAATGCACTCACACTGGGGACGCTGTTAGGTCTCAGTTCTTTGGGTTTGGGGTTGTTGGCTGGGGTACAGTCATGATCCCAGTGGTAAGTGCTAGGGAACAGGAAGGCCGACTTGTGGGGTTGTGGGAAGGAGGAGGAAGGCTGCAGCCAAGGTCACGGGGGGTCTGCAGGGCCGCGACCCATGATGATCGTGTGTGATGAGGGTGGGGAGCCGCCTTGGAGGGGTTGGGGCCACTGTGGACTTTTGTGTCTTGAATCTTGTTAAACAGGAAAGTGACTCCCATTCTCCCTGCTCCCTCTCCATGTCCCCGCGGTTTTGGTAAATGACAGGGGTTGCTGTTTTGCCCAAAGAAAAGCCCACTTGGTCAGTGTCTCTAAACTTGGGGCACCTCTGTGTTCCCACTGCAGTGCTTCCTTCTCTGGATGCTCCCCAGCCTGCTTCACAGGCCCCAGAGCCACCTTGCCACATGGTCATCAGCTGTCCCCTCTTCAGACACCCGCCCCCCCAGGCTGCCCTACCTAATTCAGCTCCTCCGCACCCACCCTGGGCTCGCCTCTCAGGGCCTGAACTGCTTGTTACCTGGTCACCTCCACTGGTCCTGTGGCTTTGCCCTCACACCCTAAGCTCCGTCCTAACTCTCCCTCCGTAGTCCCGGCTAGAACTTCTGGGTCCCACCCAGTGCACTCCACAGGGGCCAGCTGAACTGGGTGGGAAAGGTTCACTCAAGTGCCCTGAGTGAAAGAATCGTCCTGGTAGATGTCCAGTGATTCATCTCGTACCTTCTGTGTGTTGTGCGTCAGCAAGCTGGGTTGTGTACCTTTTCTAGTTTAATCCTGACACCCATTCTCTGATGTGTCAGTACCATATGGTTGTGTGTCGTCAGGTCGGTTCTGACTCAGGGATTCTGTGTAGGGTTTCTGCAGAGTGGCTGGTGGCTTTGAACAGCCAACCTTATGGTTAGCAGTCAAGTGGTTATCTTGCAGCACCCCCCAGGACTCCTGGGTATCACATGGTCTTCCTTTTATAGATGACAAAAGTGAGGCTTGTGAACGTGGCTTTCTCCACCAGGGCCAGGGCCATCGGCTTTTCAGCAGTGTCTTTGAGTGAAGATGGGACTCAGGTCAGATTAAGTTAGATCCTCTGGATGCAAAGACTAGACTGGACAAACCAAGCCGAGGCCATGAGAGCTGTTTAGCAGCACAGGTTCTAACCGAGGTGGATGAGGAAACAGAGGACTCACAGAGAGGCTTTGTTGTTGTTGTTAGGTGCCATCGAGTCGGTACTGACCCATAGTGACCTTTAGAGGCCAGTTTTATAAGGACTTGTTTTGTTTAGTACTCATTTGCCCCCCAGGGAGATAAGCCACAGGGTCAGGAAAACGATTCTGTGGGGTACCAAGTTCTTCATTCATACTTGTCTGCTCTGGCTGCCTCAGGTCTGCCAAACAGGCTTCCAGAAGAGCTGTGAAAAGGGCCAGTTGTTTGACAGTCTTGCCAGACAACATGCACCATTAACTGATTTAAAAGCACTTGTGTGCCTGCCTTTGGAAGCTACGAGTCGGTGGCGCCAAGCCCAGTGATGGTCACCTGGGCTTCTGTATCTCTTGGCTACATCTTCCTTCTCAGCAGAGTCCTCAGCTGCCCACAATCCGCTCTGAGTCCCTGCCGAGTGCCTTCGGAAGCCACACGCTTAGCTCCCACGTCTCCAGGGCTTCTCACTGTGTGTGTGTGTGGCTTCAGTCGACAGGCGGGTTGAATCTGAGGAGTCTGGCGATGAGGAAGGGAGGAAGTACTGCAGCAGTATCACCACCAACCTGAGCGCACAGAGCCTGCGGGAGCGAGAGGGGCGCAGCGAGGAAGACCCCGAAGGTAGGGGCGCGTGTCCCCGGGGGAGGGGGGAAGGTGTCCCACGTGGGGCAGAGCCTGGGGTGGTTTCCCAGGGACGCTGTTACAAAACAAACCCACCGCCAACAAATCGAGTCCAACTCAGTGCCCCTGGACAGAGCTTCGGAGACTGCCGGTCTTTACGGAGCAGCTGGTGGTGCGGCGGGTTAAGCCTTGGGCTGCTAACTGCTAAGTTGGCAGTTCAAGCTCAGCAGCTGCTCAGCAGGAGAAAGACGAGGCTGTTGCACGTGGTGTAAAGATGGACCGACTCGGAGCAGTTCTGCTCTGTCCTCAAGGGTCCCAATGAGTCAGAATTGACCTGATGGCAGTGAATTAAGAGGAAAAGCATTTCAAATGGTTTAAGGGGAACTCGTATAGTCTCGGCTTCACAGCCTTAGAGCCAAGGGTGAAATTTTAGGATGTTCATTAAATCATTCTTTGCTTTTACAATAACAAAAAAAAAATTCTTTTTCTTATTTTTTTTAGCTGAACTAATTTTTTTAAGTAACACTGCTCTCTGTACCAGTGAAGATGACTGGTAACTATGGCAACCTCATTTTAAGGCGAAAGGAGACTGCCACAAAAGTAGACTCACATTGCTTTTCTGGAGCTGGCACTCTGGGAGTGATGTGGGTGGAAGTGAACGCCCAGGGGAGAGGGGCAGAGAAGCGCTCTTGTTATCTGATCTCTGTGTAGGAAAGCACTTCAGCTGGCCATCCGCAGCTCTGTACTGTGAAGACACAAGACAGTCATCCTGCCCCTGGTATTGGGGTGGGATTTGGGCAGAGAAGTCACGCTCTCTCCCCTGCTCAAGTGTTCTGAGGGAAAAGGCCCTGCTCCTGCCTGTGTTTAGGTTTTTAGTTCAAATCAGAAGCCTTGGTGGTACTGCGGACTAAATAAGCATTGGACTGCTAACCATGAGATCAGCAGTTCAAACCCACCTGCTGAGCCACAGGAGAAAGATGAGACCATTGGCCCCCATGAAGATGGATACAGATAGGGCCAGGATTGACTCTGAGGCAGTGGTTGGTTTGGTTTCGATCTAATAACACAAATCCAGACATTAGCTCAATTGTTTGCATTTGCTTCGTTTCCTAACTTCTTCAGCACGCACGGTCAATAAAAAGTAATTTCAGAAAAGTGTAGCGTGCCCTGCACTGGCTGTGAGGCAGGCAGAACCCGGCCGTCACGTGACCACTGCCAGCCCAGTGGGTTATTTATAGCATCCTCTACTCGGTGATGTCCCACTGGGGCAATAAGTGACCCATGGCCTGAACTGTAGAGCATCTTTCAGGATAGCTTCCGAATTCCCACGTTGAATGGTCACCATCTTTAGGAGACTCTCGGGTGTATCTCTTGGTTTTGCCCAACTCCTTTGGATTCCTTAACCTGGACTCTCAGTCAGGCTGTCCATAGACAACCGGGGAGGTGTGGACAGTGCTGTCAGTGGGCAGTGCTTGTCCATTTGATGTTTGTTGTTAGAGTGAGTGAATTGCATTGTGTTTGGGGGTTGGTGGGCTTTGGGTTTGCCTGTAGAATCCTTTGAGAGGCAGATGCTCACCTAGGTTCCCATGAAGGGTGATGTGCTTGTACCTGCACAAGACTGCAGGCTCTGGGCATCCCAGCAGGACAGCTGGCTGCACCTTTCAATCCTGGGGAAAACTGCTCACAGCTGAGACATGCATGTCAGTTCTTCGGCGGGAGCACTGAGCTGTGCGTCATTGTGGTTTGCTTTTAGTAGAGAGAAATGTTTGTCCTAGAGCATGTGATAGGCCCGGCGTGGTCTTTCTTCAAATGGCCTGGTGTGCTACTGTCTTAAACACGGAGGAGAACCCTGCACGTTGTCAGCACAGGGCCTTTGCCCACATGTGACCAGCAGCCTCAGTGTCCCGTCCCCTCCTCCATAGCTGCTCCGTCATCTGTATCTTCTCTCCACCTCCTCTCCAGACCTTAGCCCGTCCCAGCTCCTCACTGCCCGCAGTCAGCACCTTTCTCTCCTTTTCTCCAGAAGAACATGAGCTGCCTGTGGACATGGAGACCATCAACCTAGATGGAGACGCTGAGGTAACAGTGCCGCTCGCCCCCTACCCCCGCCCTCTGATTCCAAAGTGCCCGCTGTCAAGGTTCCATCTCCATTTGATCTCTGAGACTTTTGAGGCATATGAAAAGTCTTTCACACTTGGTGTCCAGTTCTGTGGGTTGAATGACGACATTGTAAATGGGGAAATGTGGTGCTAGTTCAGGGTGAGTCTCTCTGCCACTGACTTGGTGTACGTGGGGCCCTTCCCTGAACCTGCAGCTGCTCCCCAACAGTAACATGATTAGGGTACATCGCAGAGCTCAGGGGAGCCGGGGGAAGAGGGTTTCCACATGGAGGGTCTGCTTTATATCAAAACACGGTTCCTGGCTACCCCAGAGACCACCGGGCAGTCTGTCTCCTGCCTCTCCCCTCCCCAGCAGACCTCTTCTCCTGGCTCCCTTTCAGAAGCTGAGTGGGAGTTCTGTGTGTTTCAGGATGTGGATCTAAACCATTACCGCATTGGGAAAATCGAAGGGTTTGAGGTGTTGAAGAGAGTGAAGGTGAGACGGGGGTCCCGTGGGCATGTGCAGAGGGGCCGCTTCCCCTGAGCCCACCTGTGACCTCAGCCATCGGGGACACTGACCAGCAGGCCGCTGGGTGGGCCTCGTTGGAAGTCTGCTTCCTTGTCGTGGGTGTGCTTGTAGGGACTTCCCAGCGCTCACGGCCCTGCCAGATGCTCCCAGGAGGCCGTGCTCTCTGTCCCTGTGACAGGGTCTCACGCCCCGTCTGCCCCCTCCCTCCCCCCCTCCCTAGACTCTCTGCCTGCGGCAGAACTTAATCAAATGCATCGAGAACTTGGAGGCGCTGCAGAGCCTTCGCGAGCTGGATCTCTATGACAACCAGATCACGAAGATGGAGAACCTGGAGGCACTGACAGAGCTGGAGTGAGTCAGGGCTGGCCGCCCCCACCCCAGGTCCCATCTAAGGCCACTCCACCATTGGCCACCCGCCATGCAACCAAGACTGCTTCCAGCCCAATGTGGAAGCAGGGTAGGGAAAGGCAGCCTGAAAGGCCATATAAAATCTTTTCTTAGAATAAAGGGACAAGTCACGTTTCTGCTCTAAGGAGTCAGGGCCTGGGGTCATTTCACCCGAACCCCTACCCCTCTGCTTTTTGCTGAACTTACTCTCACTCAGCACTTACTTGATCCCATGTATGTGCTGAACCGGGTCCTGGGTCTGCTCTCAGATAAAGCTCATCCAGACAGCGCTGAGGGTCGGGGCCCCCACCTGCAGCATCAGTACCAGCCTGGGCCCCTGCAGGTCTGCAAGACAATGTGAGACAATACGGCCTCTAAGTTAAGTATTAACATGCTTGTTAAAACCATAAATGTCTGCCTCTCCTCAGGGTTCTCGATGTTTCTTTTAACCTGCTGAGGAACATTGAAGGAATTGACAAGTTGACTCAACTGAAAAAACTCTTCTTGGTCAACAATAAAATCAATAAAATTGACAACATTAGCAGTTTGCATCAGCTACAGATGTTGGAGCTGGGATCCAACCGCATCCGGGTATGTGCCCAAGGGGCCTGGGGTCTAGAAGCTGGGCCCAGTCATGTGATCCAAGGGGGTCAGAATGTTTGCTTGGCTAATGATTTTTATATGACAGGTGATGTTTCTTTGGAAACTGAGGAGTTAATCCTCTTCCTGGGGTGTTTTGCTTTCAAGTAAAATAATAGTAGCTGTGAGTCATCATGGCAGTCCATCTTGTTGGGGTCCTCCTCTTTTTCCTTGACCCTTCACTTTACCAAGCATAATGTCCTCCTCCAGGGACTGGTCTCTCTTGATAATATGTCCGAAGTATGAGAGAGACAAAGTCTGGCTATCCTGGCTTCAAGGAGCACTCTGGCTGCATTTCTTCCAACACAGATTTGTTTGTTCTTTTGGCAGTCCACGATACTTTCAATATTCTCCTCCAATACCAAAATTCAAATACATCAATTCTTCTACGGTCTTCCTTATTCACTGTCCGACTTTCACATGCGTGTGACATTATTGAAAATACCGTGGCTTGGGTCAGGCGTACCTTAGTCCTCAAACTGACTTCTTTGCTCTTGAACACTTTAAAGAGGTCTTGTGCAACAGATTTGCCCAATGCAATATGTCGTTTGATTTCTTGATTGCTGCTTCCATGAGCATTGATGGTTGATCCTAGCAAAAGTTGTCTTTGACAACTTCAATATTTTCTCCATTGATAGGGATGTTTTTTATTGGTCCAGTGGTGAGGAGTTTTGTTTTCTTTATATTAAGATGCAACCCATACCAAAGGCTGTGGTCTTTGAGCTTCATCAGAATTTAAAGTCCTCTTCACTTTCAGCAAGCAAGGTTGTATCATCTGCATTTCACAGGTTATTAATGAGTCTTCCTCCAATCCTGATGCCACGTTTTTCTGAATAAGTATGGTGAAAGAATACAACCCTGGCACACACCTTCCCTAATTTTGAACCACTCGGTGTTCCCTTATTCTATTTGAACCACTACCTCTTGGTCTATGTACAGATTCCTCATGAGCACAATTAAGTGTTTCAGAATACTCATACTTCTCAATGTTGTCCATAGCTTGTCATGATCCACACAATCGAAAGCCTTTGCATACTCAATAAAGCACAGGTAAACATCCTTCTGATATTCTCTGCTTTCAGGCAAGATCCATCGGACATCAGCAATGATAACTCTCGTTCTTCTGAATCTGGCTTGAACCTCTAGAAGTTCTCTGTCAATGTATGGGTGCAGCTGATTCTGTATTAGCTTTAGCAAAATTTACTCGCTTGAATATCAAAGAGATTGTCCGATGATTTCCACATTCTGTTGGGTCACCTTTCTTTGGAATGGGCACAAATATGGATCTCCTCCAGTCAGCCAGATAGCTAGTTGCCTTCCAGATTTCTTGGCAGAGATGAGTGAGTGCCTCCAGTGGACATCAGTTGGTTGAAAGGTTTCCATTTGTAGTCCATCAATTTCTGGTGCCTTGTTTTTTGCCAACACCTTCACTGTACCTTGGTCTTCTTCCTTCAGTATCATTGGCTCTTGATCGTATGCCCCCTCTTGAATCAGTTGAACATCGATCACTTCTTTTTGGTACAGTGACTCTGTATTTCTGCCATCATTTTTTGATGCTTTGTGCAACATTCAATAATTTACTCATTGTTGGTAAGTACTGTGGAGTGACCCCGCACAGGGTTTCTGAGGCTGTAAATCTTTACAGGAGCAGAATGCCTCATCTCTCTCCTGTAGAACCGCTGGTAGTTTCGAACTGCTGACCTTGAGAAGTTGTAACTACTACACAACCAGAGCTCCCATAAAACCCTTCAATACCACAAGTAGACGTTTGTAGTATTCTTCACTTCCTCAGCTGGAGAAATGTTGAGCGTGTACTTCCCTTTTGGTTTTCTAACTCGAGCTCTTTGTACATTGTGCTATGATGGTTGACTTTGTCTTCTCCAGCTGACCTTTGACATTTTCTGTTCAGCTCTAGTAGTATCTCCTCACTTCTTCCATTTTGCTTTCACATTTCTGTGCTGGAGAGCAACTTTCAGAATCTCTTCTGACATCCATTTGGGTCTTTTCCTTCTTTCTTGTCTTCTTAAGAACTTTTTGCTTTCTTCTTACACTATGTCATCCCACAACTCTTCTGGTGTTTGGTCACTAATGTTTAATGCATCCAATCTGTTCTTCAGATGTTCTCTCAATTCAGGTGAGATATGGTCAAGGTCATAGTTTGACTCTCATGGACTTGTTTGAACTTTCTTCAGCTTCAGCCTGAACTTGCATGTAAGCAATTGAGGGTCTCTCCTCCAGTCTGCCTCTGGCCTTGTTTTGGCTGATGATATGGAGCTTTTCCACCATCTCTTGCCACAGATGCAGTCAATTTGATTCTGTGTATTCCATCTGGTGAATTGACCTTGATGACATGGAGTAAAGCCCTCAGGACCTTCATTTGCTGATGGGGCACAACTCAAAATGAAGAGGAACAGCTGGAAACATGCATTAATAATCGGAACATGGAATGTACAAAGTACAAATCTGGGAAAATTAGAAATTGTCAAAAATGAAATAGAACCCATCAACATCGATATCCTAGACATTAGTGAGCTGAAATGGACTGGTATTAGCCATTTTGAATCTGACAACCACATGGTTTACTATGCCAGGAATGACAATGAAGAGAATTGGTGTCGCATTCATCATCAGAAAGAACATATCAAGATCTATCTTGATATCTATCCTGATAGCGTTATATTCCAGACACCTACAAAGAAGACCAGGAGCTCTGGTAGCATAGTGGCTACAAGTCAGGCTGCTAACCTCAAGGTTATCAGTTTGAAACTACCAACAGTTCCATGGGAGAAAGATGAGGTTTTCTATTCCCGTGAAGGTTTACAGCCTCGGAATTCCTGTACAGGCTCACTATGAGTCGGAACCAACTCCACAGCACACCACCACCACCATAAGGAAGACCAGTTACTACCACGATTATTCAAATTTACACACCAACCACCAAAGCCAGTGAGGATGAAATTGAAGAATTCTACCAGCTTCTTCCGTAAGAAATTGATGAAACATGCAATCAAGATGTATTGATAATCACTGGAGATTGGAAGCAAAGAGGAAGGATCAATGGTTGGAAAATATGGCCTTGGTGATAGAAATGATGCTGGAAGTCACATGGTAGAATTCTGCAAGACCAGAGACTTTTTAAGCAGCATAAAAGACGACTATACACATGGACCTCACCACATGGAATACACAGAAATCAAATTGACTACATCTGTGGGAAGAGACGGTGGAAAAGCTCCATATCATCAGCTTGAACAAGGCCAGGGGCAGACTGTGGAACAGACCATCAATTACTCATATGCAAATCCAGGCTGAAGCTGAGGAAAATGAAAATAAGTCCAGGAGAGCCAAATATGCAGATTCAGGCTGAATCTAAATTATCTTAATGTCGCAGGTTACTGAGTCTTCCTCCAATCCTGATGCCACGTTCTGCTTCAGAGACTCCAGCTTCTCGAATGATTTGTTCAGCATACAGACTGAATAAGTGTGGTGAAAGAATACAACTATGGCACACACCTTTTCTAAATTTAAACTACTCCATATCCCCTTGTTCTGTTCTGCTCAAATGACTCCCTCTTGGTCTATGTATAAGTTCCTGACGGGCACAATGAAGTATCCTGGAATACTCATTCTCCAAAATGTTTTCCATAGCGTGTCATGATCTGCACAGCTGAAAACCTTTGCACAGTCAAGAAAGCACAGATGAACATATTCATGGTATGCTCTGCTTTCAGCCAAGATCCATGTGATGTCAGCAGTGATATCCCTGGATCTGTGTCCTCATCCGAAGTCAGCGTGAACCTCTGGCATTTCCCTGTCGATGTACCATCGCAGCCATTTTTGAATTATCTGTAGCAAAATTTTACTTGCATGAAATGTTAATAATACTGTCTGATGATTTCCACATTCCGTTGGGCACAGATATGTTTCTCTTCAATCAGTTGGCCAGGTAGGTCTTTTCCAAATTTCTTGGCATAGATGAATTGAGTGCCTCCAATGCCACATCAGTTTGTTGAAAGATTTCAATTTATTCCATCAATTTCAGAGCCTTGTTCTTTGTGGATACCTTCAGGGCACTTGGACTTCTTACAAGATCATTGGCTCTTCATCAGATGCTACCTGTTGAAATGGTTGAACACTGACCGTTTCTTTTGGTACAGTGACTCTGAGTATTCCTTCCATCTGCTTTTGATGCTTTCTACATCATACAAGGTTTCGCCCAGAGAATCCTTCAGTATTGCAACTTGCTAGCATGTTTTCTTCCATTCTGTCAGCTTGAGAAATGCTGAGCCTGTTCTTTCTTCCCTTTTGGTTTTCCAGCTCCAGGTCTTTGCACATCTCATTATAATGTTTGACTTTGTTTTCTCAAGACGCCCTTTGAAATGTTCTGTTTATTAACTCTTTGACCTCCTCATTTCTTCCATTGGCTTTAGCGTCTCTACACTGGAGAGCAAGTTTCAGTGTCTCTTCTGACACCCATTGTGGTCTTTTTTTTATTAGTGACCTTTTGCTTCATTACAGTATGAGCTTCTAATGTCTTCCATCCCACAAGTCTTCTTGTCTTTTGTCATTAATGTCTGATGCATCAAATCTGTACGTGAGATGATGTCTGAATTCAAATGGGAGACGTTCACTGTCATACTTTGACTTTTGTGGACTTGTTTTAATTTCCTTCCTCTTCAGCCTAAACTTGCGTCTGTACCTGGCCTTGTTTTGCCTGATGAGATTGAGCTTTTCCCACAAATATAGTCAGTGTGATTTCTGTGTATTCCATCTGGTGAGGCCCATGTGTATAGTCATCTTTTATGTTGTATAAAAAAGTATTTGCATAGAATATGGAATCTCTAGCATCATTTCTTTCACCAAGGCCATATTTTCCAGTTACTGACCCTTCCTCTTTGTTTCCAACCTTTGCGTTCCATTCGCCAATGATTGTCAATACGTCTTGGTTGCCTGTTTGATCAATTTCAGACTGAAGAAGTTGGTAGAATTCTTCATCATTGACTTATTGAATAGTCGTGGTATTAACTGGTCATTCTTGGTGGTGTTGGTAAGTGCCGTTGAGTCAGTTCTGACCCGTAGCATCCCTGTATACAGTTTCTGAGGAGTGCCTGGTGAGTTTGAAATTGACCTTGAGGTTGAATACTTACCCTACAGCACCACACCATGTCTCCTTGTAGGCGTATGGATGTTATCCAATGACAGACAGCATTATACTTCAAGGTAGATCTTAACATGTTCTTTTGATAATGTGGCACCATTCCTCTTCAATATGTCATTCCCATCATAGTAAACATGTGACTGTCAGATTCAAAATGGCGAATACCAGTCCATTTCTGTTCATTAGTGCCTAGGATATCAATGTTTATGCGTTCCATTTCGTTTTTGACAACTTACAATTTCTCTAAATTCATATTTTGTACATCCCGTGTTCCAATAACTAATGGATGCTTAAAGCTGTTTCTCCTCATTTTGAGTTGTTCTCTATCAGCAAATGAAGGTCTCCAAAGATTTACTCCATTCTCTTCATCCCAGTCAGCTCCTTTGAGGCGGCAGCTCTTCCCCAGTTGTATTGTAAGTGCCTTCCAACCTGAGGGGCTCATCTTCCAGCTCTGTATCTGACAATATTCTGCTGCTCTCCATCCTATCTCAGTATTCAGTATTCGGGGCAGTGGTGGTTGTTAAGTGCCATCAAGTCGATGTTGTCTCATAACCACTCTGTAAAGGGTTTTCGAGGAGCCGCTGGCGGGTTTGAACTACCGACCTTGTGGTTCACAATCTCATGCTGTCCCTACAGCATCACCCCAGGTAGAACATCTGTAAGTGAAGATCATCTGACCCCCACCTCTGGCCTCCAGGGGTTGTCGTAAGAGGAGTCAGAGGCCCTGCCAAGCCTGGTGTGGTGTGGGTGTCCCCTCCTGCTTCATTCCTGAGGTGGCTGTTTGGCTTCAGGAGACAGTAACCCTCATGGCCCAGGCTCAGCTTTGTGACCTTGGAGAGTTGGGCAGGATGCCAGCCAGAATGGTGGTGTGAGTAGGGGTCCGTGGCCTGAGGGACCTCAGCAACCACATCAGGAGGAAGGTGGTCTTAGTCAGAGATGCTGAAAGACGACTTCCCTTGGGGAGCAGCGAGCTTAGAATGGGGAGACCAAGCTCTCATAGGCCTGGGCCCAGCGCTGGGACACAGATGGGACAACATGGCCCCTACACATGCCTGTGGCTCGTAGTTACTGAAGGAACAGTGTGAATGGTGCCGCGTGGCTTCCAGCAAGGAGAGCAAGAGCCAGCGCCTGCTTCTGGGAGACTCAGACTGAACAGTCTTAATAATGTATCAGCTCTGAAGTCAGCAGGACAGGGACCGAGTGCTCCCAGAATCCCAGAGCACTGTGAAAACTTACACACGGGGACAAGTAGGAGGGACTGGAACCCCATCCACCTTCTTTCTTTGTCCATCAGGAGATTTCACGAGGACTTGTCCAGGCAGGAAAACCCTTGGCCTGTGTCCACAGAGCTGTGGGCTACTTATCCAGGACATCCCTTCTCTGTACTCCACAGGCCATTGAAAATGTTGACAGCTTGACCAACCTCGACAGTTTGTTTCTGGGGAAAAACAAGATTACTAAACTTCAGAACCTAGATGCACTTACCAACCTCACCGTCCTCAGTATGCAGGTATCACCGCCTTCACCCACCCAGCTCGGCCCCCACAGTGCACCCCACTTTCAGGGGCAGCAGGACTGAGGGGCATTAGCCTCGTCACTCCATGTTACCATCAGGGGGCACACTGGCATACGCTGGTGTGAGCTCCATTGCAGAAACTTCCTTCTTTGTCCTGATGATGCTCACCATCCTGTGGGATTTGACTGGAGTCGTGGTCGATCTTAAACATCCAGTGACCCCGACCTTGTAGACCTTCCCGAAGCACACCTCATCAAAGCACGTTCTCTGTGTCACGCCGTCAAGTCCTGCACATGAGAGCCACATACAACCGACTCTATGTTTCCAACGTCCACCCCACCGCATGCTCAGGGTTCTAGGGACACCCACCTGTCCTGATGCCCCGTCACCTGCCCCCACCTGACCTGAGCACTGGCGCTCTCTTGCAGAGCAACCGGCTGACGAAGATCGAGGGGCTGCAGAACTTGGTGAACCTGCGGGAGCTCTACCTCAGCCACAACGGCATCGAGGTCATCGAGGGTCTGGAGAGCAATGTAAGACATCGGCAGTTAGCCCGGGCCGGTGAGGGCAGGGGGCGGGGGGCCGGTCTTAAGGGCTGGCCTGGCGCAGACTCTGCTTCTGGAGAGAGATGAACACCAAGTGCCCCCCGCTCACACGGAAAGCCTGAGAGCACATGTGGAGGGCTACTGGGTGTGCCTGGGATGCCCCGCACCCCGCACAGTGTGGCGGTACCTCTGCCTGGGCCTCAGGACTCTAGTTTGCAGGGGTCTAGGGCTGGTTGCCCTCAGTGGCTCCTGCGCTTTCTCAGCCCCTGCCCCCTCCCCCCCCCAGGGGCAGCTTCAGCCCCACACCTGGTCCCACCCCCCCCCCCCACCAGGCCCCCAAGCCAGTCCTTAGACTTTAGACTACACAGGCACCAGCCCCGCTCAGGGAGCATCCGCCCCGGTGCGCGCTCCCCTGCCAATAAAGGACTTTTGCTCGTCGAATTTTATTGCTTTTTTATCTGTTTGTGTCCTGGTGGCACTGATGCCCCGTGGCCCCTTTTTGTTGTTGGGAGCAGAGCCTGTCAGTCCTACAAGGCCCTCCTGGACCATGTCCCGGGGAGACCAGGTTCTGGACATCTCCATGAGAGCTGGTACCCCCAGATTGGGGCATTCAGTGTGCCGTCTAATCCAGGTGTCCTGAATCTGGAGAGGGAGGCAGAGGAGAGTCGTGATGGGGGCTGGCTCTGGGACAGACCGGACAGGCAGCTGTGTCATGTTCAGGGACCTTGGTGGTGCAATGGTTAAGCACTTGCTGCTAGTTGCAAGGTCTGTGGTTCAGACCCACCTACTGCTCCGAGGGAGAAAGAGAGTCTGTGTGCTCCTGTAAAAACAGACAGACTCAGAAACCCTAAGGAGCCAGGTCACTGTGGCTCAGGGTCGGCTGGGTGTGGTGTGGTGTGGTGGGGGTTCCTCCTTGTTCCGCCTCAACAGGTACAGCAGCCGTGGCTCAGGGCTTCCTGTCGGTAAGACATGGGCCGTCTGTCTGTCTGTGAGCTTTCCTGGGGGGTTTCTTGTTTAGCATGGTGCCTCACTTTGTAGGCTGTTTGTTTTTGTGCTGGGAGGTGACTTTGACTCTCCTCAGGATTGAGCCAGGTCCAGCACTATCTATTCAGTGGACCCCGTTCCCACAGGCCCTTCTTTACCCAGGGTGTTCTCAGTTCTAACCCCACCCTACCCAAGGACCTCCTTCCTTTCAGATGAGCAGCCACCTCTCCCCGGCCGTGTCCCCTGGCTCTTGGCTGCCATCTGCTCGGCCTTGTGGCCACCATTGTCCCAGCGGCCTCTTCTGTGGTATCATCTTAGGGCCTTTAGACTCTGGAGACCGGCAAGGTCCTGCAGCTGGGAAGTCCCCTGGCATTGTGTGGCCTTAGTCCACTGCAAGCATGTCCCCTCAGCCTCAGGAAGGACGTGTCACAGCGGCCACATAGCTCACCAGGAAGGTGGGACTGAGGTTGGGTCCACAGAGCACTGCCGTAGTCCCATGCGGGCCAGAGGCTTTGGGTGGGCTCTGCTCTCATCTCACGGAGACAACTTTATGTTCCCCTAAAGTGTGGACTCAGAACCCTAAGAATACAAGAGGGAATAGAAGAAAGGGAGCCTCCGTCCTGGGGACGGGGAAGGAGCGACTGTTAGCAGAGGCCTGCCACCAGCTGGTACAGCTTCTTTAAGTTTTGGGGAGACCTGCCATTTGGCTCGGTTAACCGTAGCTGTCACACTGCATGGCCATCCAGTCTTAGCCTTCCATTAAATCTTAAAGCTTAAAAGAAACATCCTATTTGCCAAAGCCAACCCTGCGCTGCCAAGAAACATCCGACCCAGGCTTAGCTGGTGTGACTGGAGAGTGGGCATGTGGCGGGCACTTCTAGGAGAGAAATCAGAGTAGCACCTGCCAAATGCGAAGTCCTGGGTCACACAGGACAGCTGCCCTTGGAAGGTTCTCAGGAAAGCCTGCTCCTGCTTCCCAGATGGAGAGAGGACATTTGGGAGGATTCCACGGTGTCCCCAGGCCACGCCACCTTGGCTTGTAAGCAGAGGACTCTTGCTCTGGAGCCTGGGGCAGCAATGGATGGGGGATCAAGTCCGATAGCTACAAATCCCAGCAGCGGGGATGGTCTCCATGGGGTGAGGGTGCCCCTGCAGCTGCTGGCAGCGGGCAGTCCTCCTGACCCTGGTCTGCATGCTGTCCAGTGCGGGTGCTCCTCCCTGAAGCTCTACACCCTCACCCAGAAACCCTGAACTGAGGTAATTCAGGACAAATTTATCTCCTTATTTTAGAACAAACTCACGATGTTGGACATTGCATCAAACAGAATCAAAAAGATTGAAAATATCAACCATCTAACAGAGCTGCAGGAATTCTGGGTAAGTTTACCCTGTGCTGATTGTTGACACTGACTAGAGTGGCCCACTGAGTCAGGCGCTGTGTGCATTGAACATCTCCAGCCTGTAGTAAGCTCTGAGTTCTGCCCTCACCCCCCCACCCCCCAGGTGCAGACTGAATCACAATTGCATTTTGACAAGTTACCTGTGATCATAGTGCGTGTGGTAGTGTGAGGAGCCCTGTATTGACCAGATCCTAGAATTGCCATTGATTCGAAGGCTCCACGCCCAGACACTAGAAGGAAGTGCTGGGTAGGTTTCTGCAGTCAGCGCTTTTGGAATTGACCATGTGTCTGGCTCTTAACGATAGGTGTGGTTTTTAAGAAGGTAATACAGAGTCAGTAGAAAGAGGAACCATGTAAGAAGTCTTCACAAACTCCTCCAAAGGGGCTACAAACAGTCATCCACAAAGTGAAGTCCTTAGTGTTAGGGTTTTAGCAACTTGGATACGGTGTCTTTACTATGATGCACTAGGGTTTATTGAACCTCTCGGATCTTGGATCGGCCATTTTCATCAAGTATGGAACACTCAGAAAATACCTGACCCACCCTCTCCCCAGTGTCTTTCGGAAACCCCAGTTACGCGTGTGCTTGTCCATGTCCGATCGCCGAGGTGCTTCCACACCTCTGGCCTCCAGGCGGTGACCCTTGTGTGCTTTGGTTCGCATTGTTTCTGCTGCTTCCGTGGTATCGCTTTTTCGTGTGCCATACCCAGTCTCCTGCTTCTCACCCGTGCACTGCAGGTGTGATTTCAGGTCACCTGTCTCCAAGTGTAAAGAAAAGAAGCCTTTGATTCTTTTATTGTACTTTCTGTGTTCTCTCCTCATTATGCTTACGTTTTCCTCTAAATCTTCCTGTTACACGTCTAATAATTTTTACTAGGTGGTGGCCTTTGTGTCTGTTCGGTTTTCGAATGTCTAGACTTCCTTGGACTTTCTAGCTGCCAGGCAGTCAGGTGCTATTCGAGGCTGCCGAGGCTTACTTCCCACTTGATGAGGATGAATCTAAAGTAGCCTGTGCTCGGGGGGCCTAAGATGGGAGGAGTGACCCTCCTGAGGTCTCTACTACATGTCCCTGGGCTTGAACACGCCTGTCCACTCTGGTCAGTATCCAGCTCTGGGTCCCCACCAGGTGCTCTTGGGTCAGTCTCACAGACTCCATGTTACGTTGATGTGCCTTTGTTTTCAGTCTGAGACTTAGGCCCCATGAGATTTCCAGAGTTTTTACTCACACAGCTCACTCCTCCAGAAATGCCCAGTGCCTCTGCCTCTCTGTCCTCAACTCTGCGTGGCCACCAGGCTCGGTTTGGGTCCCCTCCCCAATCTCCAGAACAGTCCTAGAGCTCCCAGGCTTGGTTCCAGGAAGCCTGTTGTCCGGCGTCGCAGTAGCTGGCTAGTGGTATCCAGCTCTGGTTATTTTGTCACCGTCGGAAGCGCAAGTCCTACACTCTTCTCTTACAGATGCGTCTTCCCTTGTGTTGGGGTCTCTTCTCCCACGCTAGAGCAGTGCCTGACACGCGGTCTGTTGGGTGGGTGGAGAACAACTGTTGATGACCGTGCCCACCGTGCACCCCCTGAGAAGGGCTCACGTCCTGTGATCCAGACACCTCTCACAAAGGTGCAGGTGGAAGCCCAGTATGGAGAGGGAGACGGGAGAGCCATTTCATTCTTATTAGTCAGCTTGGCAAATACATTACAATAAGGAGTTAGTGTTGCGGTCTGCCATGGTGTCGTCAGTCCGTAGTGTACTGGGCACTCTTGTGGCCACCAGTAGGACCTCAGTGTGGACACACACTCCGTAGTGCCTCCGTGAAGTCTTCGGATACCCACACACACAGACTCACTGCACACATCTGCCATCCTAAACAGCTGACGAGAAAGGAGGAGAAGATCTCACGGTGTGTTTGTACAGTGGAAATAACTTGTCTGGTATTTCCTGATACTAAAAGTATGTCTGCTCATTGACCCCAAAATAGTCAGATGATACAGAAAAATGGGAAGAAAAAGCCCTTTGTGGCGAGAGCTCCAGGCAAGGTGCTATGTGTCACCTCACCTACCCAGGCTGGTTCTGAAGGAGGGGGCCAGGGTGTGTCCACACCCCGGCTAGCACTTCACCTGTCCCCTTGTGGTCCACTGTGTCGCACCAGAAGGGATAACCAGGGGAGCAGAAACCATCTGATGGGGAAGTATCCTGACCTCTCGGCACCCAGCTCGCTGTCCTGAGCAGCACCATGTGCACACCCGTCCTGGCTGAGTCTGCAGGCCGACACACCCCACACCACTGCCCCCTTCACTCCCCGTCTCTGTCGGCCCCTCCTGAATTTGTAGGGCACATCCTGAGGACAGGATGATAGCTCGAGGGCTGGCAGACTGTCGGTACAACCCCATGCTGCTCTGAGAGGCTGGACAGCACCACGCCGTCACTGGGTCCCGGAGCCGCCGCCTCTACCAGCCATGCTGCCCGCCACTCATGGTTTGTGTTTGCATTCCTTCATTACAAGGGAGCTCAGCCCCAGTCACTCACTCTGACAGGACTGGACAAACCTAAGCTTTAACTACGACACCAATAATAGCACGTGTGATGTCTTCCCAGTACTTTTCTCTAGCTCCCAGTTTTCAGCAAGGAGGGAGGTTGTTGTTGTTGTTAGGTGCTAACAAGTTGGTACCGACTCATAGTGACCCTATGCACAGCAGAACGAAACACTGCCCGATCCTGGGCCAACCTCACTACTGTAGCCACGCTCGAGTCCATCGATACTGCCACTTAGCCAGTCCATCTCATTGGGGGTCTTCCTCTTTTTCTCTGACCCTCCACCTTACCAAACATGATATCCTTCTCCAGTGACTGGTGCCTCCTGACAAAATGTCTGAAGTATGAGAGACGAAGTTTGGCCATCTTGGCCTCCAAGGAGCACTCTGGCTTCACTTCTTCCAACACAGATCTGTTGGTTCTTTTGGCAGCCCATGGCACTTTCAGTATTCTCCTCCAACACCATAATTCCGGAATACTCATACTTCGCAATGTTGTCCATAGGTTGTCATGAGCCACACAATCAAAAGCCTTTGCGTAGTCAATAAAGCACAGGTAAACATCCTTCTGATATTCTCTGCTTTCAGCCAAGATCCATCAGACATCAGCAATGATATCCCTCATTCCACGGCCTCTTCTGAATCCAGCTTGAACATGTGGAAGTTCTCTGTCAATGTATGATGGCAGCCGTTTCTGTATTACCTTCAGCAAAAGTTTACGCGCATGAGATCTCAAAGTGATTGTCCGATGATTTCCACATTCCATTGGGTCACCTCTTTAGGGAATGGGCCCAAATACAGATCTCTACCAATCAATCGGCCAGATAGTTGTCTTCCAGATTTCTTGGCAGAGATGAGTGAGTGCCTCCTGTGCCGCCTCACTTTCTTGAAAGATTTCAGTTTTTATTCCATCAATTTCCTGGTGCCTTGTTCTTTGCCAATTCCTTCAATGCGCCTTGGACTTCCTCCCTGAGTATCATTGGCTCTTGATCATATGCTACCTCTTGAAATGGTTGAACATTAACCATTTCCTTTTGGTACAGTGACTCTGTGGATTCCTTCCATCTTCTCTTGATACTTTCTGCATCATTCAATAATGTGCCCAGTGAATCTTTCAATAACAATAGTTGAGGCTTGAATTTTTTTCTTCAATTCCCCCAGCTTGAGAAATGCTGAGCATGTTCTTCCTTTTTCGTTTTCTGACTCCAGATCTTTGCACATTTTGTTGTAATATTTGGCTTTATCTTCTCGAGCTGATCTTAGAAATTTTCTGTTCAGCTCTTGGACCTCCTCATTTCTTCCATCTGCTTTAGCATCTCTACGCTGGAGAGCAAGTTTCAGTGTCTCTTCTGACATCCATTTTGACCTTTTCTTTCTTTCTTGTCTTCTTAATGACTTTTTGCTTTCTTCCTGTTTGATGTCCTTGATGTCATCCCACAACTCTTGTCTTTGGTCTTTAGTGTTTAATGCATCAAATCTGTTCTTCAGATGATCTCTAAATTCAAGTGTGATATATTCAAGGTCCTATTTTGTCTTTCATGGACTTGTTTTCATTTTCTTCAGCTTCAGTTTGAATTTGCGTATGAGTAATTGGTGGTCTGTTCTACAGTGTGCCCCTGGCCTTGTTTTCACTGATGATATGGAGCTTTTACATTGTCTCTTTCCGCAAATGTAGCCAATGTGATTTCTATGTATTCCATCTGGTGAGGTCCATGTGTATACTCATCTCTTATGCTGTCTAAAGAAGGTCTTTGAAATGAACTTTATCATTGAATTCGTAGACACTGGGTGGCCCCGCGGACACCTGCCACCTGGCACTCACACTCTTGGGTCAGGTCCTCCCTGTGAGTAGTCTCCGAGCTTCCTGACTGGTTTCTAACCAAGAGAATACAGCAGAAGTCATGAGCTTACTCTTCCAAGATTAGGTGATAAAAAGCTTAGCTTGTGCCATGGCGTCTCATCGCTGGGGAGAGCCACCAACCCTGTGGATAGGTCTATGTGGAATGGAGCTGATGTTTTGGTTTCAATCCAGCGAGGATCCAGACTGCCCAAACAGTCAGAGGTATGAATCCCACCACTGTCAAGCCTGAGATGACCATACTCCCTACTGGTACCCTGAGGTCCTCCCTATGACACACCCTGAGCCAAGACCACCCAAGAACCACTGCAGATTCCTGGCCCCCAGAAACTGAGGGACAGTAAGGGTTTGGTGTTTTCAGCATATACATTTGAGATAGTATTCTATGCAGCAGTAGATAAAAGTAGAGGCTCAGAGGTGACAGATACTGGACTTGGCAGGCAAGGACTTTCAAACAGATGTTATAAATGTATTTAATGATTTACGGGGGGGCTGGGGCAGGGAAATGGACATAAAACACAGAGGGGTAATCTCATCAGAGAAATAGAAACCCAAAAAAGATTGTAGAAGGGATTAGTGTCTGACATGAAAACATT